AGAGAGAGGTATAATTACCGAAGCCATTGGTGAATATAAATATCAAAGACCGTCGTATTGCTGCATCGGCAGAGGGAAGGGGAAGATGGTGCAGTTGCGGGGTGGGGGACGAAAAGGGAGGGAGGGGAACGAGTCGATAGAGACGGGGAAAGCGGGCGCGGGCGTTGAAGCAAGATCGGCAAAAATATCGGCCCTTCAGCCTAAAAGGGTCCTCAATTTATTATTTTTTAATAAATGAATATTTAAATTTTATAATTTTAGATTGATTGTAATTTAATAATTAAGATGTATAATCTTCGTCACGAGTTTGAAGTAGTTACACAGGACCTCTTATTTTCAAAAAATTAAAATGAACTTTTTTAATATTTTAATTTTTTTATATCAGATTTTCCTACTATTATTTTTTAGCCATTTTACTAATAAAAATTATCATATTATATTAAAAAAAATACGCAACAGTTTATGGGGCATCCAAAGTAGGCTAGTAATAACAAAAAAAAAAATACATGGATAAAATTTTTAGAATATCATTATTAACTTATATTGAATGCAACATAAGTTATTAGTGTCTATTTTAACGTGATATAATAACTTCTATTAGGTTTAAAAGTTACTTTTTTTGTTAAAAAATGTAAGGTATTTTTTGAGAAATTAAATGTTAAAAAATATAAAGCATTTCTTTCAAGGTATAATTATTATTATTTTTTTAAATATCTTACATTTTTTAATAAAGGGAGTAAAAAATAAAAATAAAAAGTGTGTTAGGAAATAAATAAAAGGTTTGAATTTTATATTTTATCCTAAAGTTTGAATTTCTATAAATTAAAATTAAAATGTTAATGGATTCAAGGAATGAAGGGTGCTAGGGGAGGGTCCTCCCCTTCCCTCTTGCGATTTGAATTGTTTAAATTTAATTTAAATAATTTAAGTTTATAAGTTTTTTTATTTTTATTTATTATAAATTATTAATAAATTTGCTATATTATTGTTTTAAATAATTTAAATTTAATATAGATGGTTCAAATTTAATATTAAAAATAAAAATAATCTTCTAACATGTATTTTTTGAAAATATTTTTTTAAAAGAATTGTAAGTTAAAGATTTTAAATATGAATTGGTCAAAGTATTTTTGTATAATTAATTTATAAAAATTATAAAATATCGACGCCTTGATCAAAATAAAAAACTAGATCGATCCCGCGCTCACTTTTCGTAGGTCTTGCCTTGCCACGAGGGGATCTGTGGCTCCTGCGCCATGAACATCGACGGTTGCAAGGACTTAGCTTTGCTTGACTAAGATACCTTCTGGAAATCCCTCCACGACTACTCCACTACCCCATATGTTTGTGATCAAGGATCTGGTGGTGGATATGACCAATTTCTACAATCAATACAAGAGTGTTGAACCGTGGCTGAAGAGGAAGAACTCACCTCCCGTGCCAGAGCAAAAAAGACAGGGCTAAGCTTGATGGGATGTACGAGTGCATATTGTGCGCATGCTGTAGCACATCATGCCCCAGTTACTGGTGGAATCCTGAGTCCTATCTCGGTCCCGCCGCTTTACTCCAGGCTAACAGGTAACGGCTGCTTTAACGCTTTGACCATTCTTAAGTCAACGGGCACGCAATGTGGCTATGCTATAATCGCTTTAAGTCTATAAGCGACGCGGTATACTATTTGTTCTATCCCATGAATTGTCTGTTCCATGTTATATGGATTTTATTGTGTTGTTTACGAGCTTGACTTTAGGTTGCTTGATGTATGCTGCTAGTCGAGGTTCTCATTGGTCAAGTGCGCACGTTAAGACGGCGAGAAAGAACATATCTTGAGCTCAGTTCTCTGTCATATCTGTAGGAAAGAACTGGAGACTTTGTTTTACTTTATCATAAGCGGAATCGTGGATTCAAAGAATAGGCTTTTACCGAGTCCCGTTGGTAAATTGATACTCTTGCAGATTTCGTTTTGGTTCTATATTTTCGTAACGCATTTCTTCCTTTGTTTTTTATGAAAAAGTTTTTGTTATATTTGCTATAGTCCTGACCAGCGCATGAAAAGCCTCTTATTTCTTGAAGAAACTGAAGGAGACAAATAAAATGGGGCAGGATTCTCTGCCTTATGAGTTCTCATCTTTGAGCAAGTCAGAAAGTGGTCTTTTTTTTACCCTTGCAAAAACTTAGTCTCTACTCTTGTGTATCTTTAATTCTGATTTTAATTATCTGGCCTATTCCGTAAAGTAGACAATTGCCCTGCTTTAACATGCATCTTGATAGTAGCTCTTCTTTTCTTGCTGGCGTTGTCAGTCTGTACTCTATAATGTTTGGATTTGGATTTGGATTCTGGAGGTTAAAGTTTGGCAAATAATTCGTCGAATTTATTGCATGTTTATGTAAGATTTAGTGTTTAGCACTTCGCAGAAAAACTTGAAGCTGCTGTTATTTCAGGCATTTGAGGTCATACATATAATTCACATAGTTGTTCACAAGTTTATTTTCCTATGTTTTTTTGTTCCCTTTTTTTTAACTTTTTATCGCATTTATCTTGAATCCATGCTGATTCACTGCGTGCGTATTTGAGATAAAACTATATACAACTTTTGGATCTGGTACCTCTGTCCCAAGCGTACTTCATAATCGAATCGCATCTCATTCTTACCTTCAGGTTTTATATGGATTCTATGTCTAGTTGATCCAAATTGGAAGACACTATACTTGATCCCTCTCTTGTTTCAGAAGTTATACTTATACTCAGCTCTTCTGAATTTAGTAGAGATTGCCAAAACTCCCTGCTAGTGAAGTTAACATCCGTAAAATGTAAGATTTTGATTTAAAAAATCTGCCAGAAAAACAAATAAACCAACGTTAAGCTCCCATAGGAGACTATTTTTTCAGGACGTCACTGTACAGACGGTAAATAACTATACTTCTTCGAAGGAATAAATATTATGCATAGCCGTATAGTTTAACTTGATGGACTGAAATTGAACCGAAAGAAGAGTTTTTACAATATACATATATATATAATCAGAACGTTGCGTATAGTTTTGAACAAGAGACGTCAGTTAGTTTAGTCGGATTTTAGCAAAGATGGACATGATTAATTTTTATTTGTTAAATTTGTTAGAGGGGAATATTTTTTGTTTCTATTTTGGTTGAGTGGTTGTCAAGAGCGATATATGGCTTGTGATACCACCGCAGGTGGATAAGTGACAGTCATGAAGAGTTCACTCAGGAGCGATTGGAGGCCATTAACGATGAATCCAAGCTGTACCGATGACGTAGCTTTTTTTTTTTTGGATAATAAAGAGGGCTAAGCCCAATTACAAAAAGAAACTAAACAGAGTTTGGGGATTTAGTTCCATAACCTCCCTATGCACAATGTCCTTTAGGAAAAAAGGAATATAATTGAAAAACTCGGATTTGTTTATTCCTCTTTTTGCCAACATATCCGCAACAAGAAAATGTAAAGATGTCATACCATATTCAACTGCGCTCGTGCCTGCCCAAAGGGCTTGAATCCAGGAAAGCAAATTCAAAACATCAAGAAGCTCAAGTTGGGAGTTGGTAAAGCGCGAGTTTCTACTGTCTGATTCATCATGGTTTGCGCAATTAAATCATTTACTCGTGGAACTTGCTTCCCCCTGAATGTGGTGATAACCCCGGCTGACGATCGGAATAAATCTGCAAATGTTTTGAAATAACCATGCATTCGACCCAATGCAACCCACCATTCGATTATTGTTGGCTGGATAACTACCCTGCATCATACACTTGACAGTCTTACAGTGTTTCCATGCGGCCACCTGATGGGGAAATGACTTTTTTTAATATATATATATATATATATAAACTGATGTGTGTGTGTGTAATATTTATATCATTATTTTTCATTTATTTCGCTTCTTAGTTTATTTCATTTTATGGGGCCATGTAATTTGCCTGAGTTGGATGTGAATCTGTTTATAGGTCAAGATGACGAGTCGGCCACCATCATATTGTTGGAAACTAATACAAGCTACAAGGGTGGGGATTGACTGTAGAGAGGACTTGAGAGCTGTGCTTTTTGATCAGCAGTTCCCGTGTAATTTACAAGGAGTCCCCTCCTCCCCTTCCCTCTTGTCGGCCCAGCTTCAATTCTGTGTTGTTCGGCCTGGCTCAATTGAAGCTTGCTTTTTGTGGATTTTAAATGCACACTTTCTAGTTTCTTTGAACGTTGTATCTTCCTCCTTCTACATAGGCTTGAAAGGAATCGAGGATGAGGGGATGGCTGATGCCACTCAGCGGCTTTGGGTTCAGAAACTCAAGGAGCATTTTTTTTTTTAAAAAAATATTGAATGAAAAATCGAAATCATCTCATTCTCAAGTGTTATATATATATATATATATATGTATGTATGTATGTATGTATGTATAAGAAACCATATTAATTACAAAAACTAACAACGATGTCTGCAAGAACAGAAGCAAATCACCCGTGTTCATTCTCCATCTCCAAATACATTGAGGAGATAGATAGAATCATATCTTTTGGCCGAGAAGAAACAGATGAAAGACAGAATCATCTCAACTGAAACCTTTGAAAGCCGTCCAAGTGGATAAAAGAGATACGCTGTCCCTTTCTGCAGACAGAATTCAGATCTAATGAGTGAAATGTGAATTTAAGAAAAGAAAAACAGAGCAGTGACTTGGTGTGATATGCTACCGATAAACTCAAGGACTATCGGACGGTGATGACAATGGTGTCGCTTCCTCAAATCCTCATGATTTCTTTGAAAGACAAAGAGTATGATTTGGCTATGTAAGAGTAGATTATGACGTGCTACATATCCAAGATGGAGTGCACTTTATTTGTTTCCAATCCGTTGAAGGTCCCCACTCCCCACGCCACCAGGCTCGACCAGAGTTGGGATATTTTGATTTTAAAAAATGAGAAAATGAAGTGGGCTAATTTTAGCGGCTGACGAACAAATACCTGTCTTTCAGATAGGAAGGATGAGGATTTATTTAAAATTATAAATTTTCATGATAATCCAACCTAATAAAACTTTCAAGTGGTGCGTCCCCACCCCTGGCTTAGCCGTGATAGCTGAAATCAGGGTACGGGAGAGAAGATGGAAGGGGTTTCATGGAAGTCGGCGATACTGGAAGGAGCATACGACGCGTGTGGATGGCTGGCCTTCGCATTCTGGTCCAGCTGCTTATACCCCCAGCTGTTCTTGAATTTCCGAAGAAAGAGGTATGAATCCAATCACTGCTTCATTCACATTCAGTTTCCTGTTTCGAACTCTGATCCGAGTTTGTTGCGACTTTCTTAAAAAGCGTGGTGGGTCTGAACTTCAACTACGCCTTGATGAACAATACCAAGCACGCCGTGTATTTCATCTACAACGCTTGCCTGTACTTCAGTCCCGACGTCCAGTTCCAGTACCGCTCCAAATATGGATTTCACCAGGTCTTTCCCCTTCTTCCACCATCTCTTCATTCACATTCCTTGAACATGTTTCCTGCCTTTTCCCCATTCATTTCAACAGAAAATGAAGAACCTTGTTTAAAACAATCAAAATAATCTAACAAGTGGTTGGCTCCTCATGGTTTTGTTCCTATTATCTTTTGTTCCTATTATCTTTTTTTTAAAAAAAAAAATTAATCATTCATAACCAATTAAATAACTGAAACTTAAGGAGTCAACTTCCACGAGTTAAACTTTTGAGTTTTTTTCTTTTTTAATCTTTTCCAGATGCTCAAAAAACCAAATGGGGAAATGAAATGCGAGGGATAAGTGGCTTTGTTAATTCTTTTTAGACTCGTTTGAGGGAAAGGGAGGGGAAATGTTGTTTGCTTGGAAAGATTGAAGGAGAGAGGTGATAAATTTTCTCTCTTCCCTCTCTTTCCTTTTCCCTATTTTGTTCCTTTTTAATTTGGAGGTTTTTGGGGTGGGAAGTGTTTGCAAATTGTAAATGATCATTGTCTAATTTTTAATATCCTTAATTTAATTATAAATGCACAGAATTTAAAATTTGAGAGTATTTTTAAATGTTAGGAAGTTTCTTGATAATAAATTTTTTTATATGAAACTTTAGTGTAATTTTTCCTTATAATTAGCCTCCTGCTGAACTAAACAAAAATTGCTAAAAAATTACCCCCCCACCCCAAACTTCCAAAGGCACGCCTGACTGTTAGAAATGGTGTACTGACTTTTGATAATAACTGAAGCAAAAAATTAAATTTTAGTACTCTGCGATTTTTTAAGTGAAATCAATTTGAGTAAGTTATAGAAAATAAAAACGAACACGGAAAACTGGTTGGACTTCCCAGAGTCAATGTCGTTTAAACATGAAATTCGATATCTTCTTTATTAAAAAAAAAAAAAAAGCACCATGATAATTTAATTTTAGTAGTAATTAATACTCATCCAACCTACTTGCAACATATGCACACCCACAGTATAACGCATATTTGTTCTTTTAATACTTGTACCTGTTGTACGCACCCAGAATTAAAAATAAATGCTAAAAAATGGGAATGTATGTGGGTTTTGATTGCTTTGGCATGGAGTGATGAGAAATGTGATTATAATAGTAATTTGAATTGAACATACTGATTACTGAGCTTATGGTGGGGTGTGTATTTGGGCAGATGATACCAGTAGCAGCAAACGACGTGGCGTTATCATTTCACTTTGTCGTTTTGACACTGCTCACCCTGTTGCAGATAGCAACTTACGACGTAAGCACATACCTTAAGCTTAATCGATCCTAGCTGGTCCAAGAATCCGGATTATACAGGTTCAACCTATTATTAATCTGTTGCATTCTCTTTGGGGGTGTTGCAGCGAGGAAATCAATCGCTGTCGAAATTCACCATTATTATGGTTGGTGGGGTGTGGTTGGGTGTTGTCGTTTGTTGCTTTGTGGCCTGGCCTTCTCACTCTTGGCTCTGGTTTCTCTCCATCTTAACGTGTGTCTAACTCTCTCTCTCTCTCTCACACATACACACACATTTCAAAATTATAATGCTGCATTTCTGCTTATGTACTTGATTCCGATATTCCTGTACAATCTTCAGGCAAGTTACAAGATTCTGATGTGAGTATCAAAATAAACTGATACTATATTATATGCATGAGATGAATATGCGTGCCAGTTATATCGCGCTTCACTTACTAAATAACCATGCAAACTGACAAAGAAAGATTTGTGATTTGGAGAATTTTGATTTGCTGGGCTAATGAGATATGAGTTTGGACTTTTACAGCTCCATTCAAGTGTGTATGACGGCCATCAAATATATACCCCAGGTTAGCTAGCATTGGTTGTTATTTTGTTTTGTGGTAATCAAATGGAAAATAAAGCGATATTGGTATATTGTACGTAATAAATAATGGAAGGTTACGCAGGCGTTGATGAATTATTTGAGGAAGAGCACGGAAGGATTCAGCATCGGTTATGTTCTGCTTGATTTTTCTGGAGGAACCTTAAGCTACGCTCAAATGATTATGCAGTCCATCGATCAAAGTACATCGATTTCAACTTTTTGACTTTTATAATCAACTTATGGTTTTTGTAACTAATCGATTGATGTTCTGTTCCTGATCGCAGATTCTTGGGTCAACTTGTACGGAAACATTGGAAAAGTCTTGCTCTCTTTGGTACGTATGAATTTTCCCGAACTTAAAAACACCTAGTACGTTTGAAGTTTGCAGCATATTCATTCATGACGCTAAACTGTACTATATGGCAATTATTTACCAAGTTGTTGTTGAATGGAATATGAGAAATTGCAGGTATCAATGTTGTTCGACCTTGTGTTCATGTGGCAGCACTATTTGCTGTACCCCAACACAAAAGGACCTCATTCTTCCAAGTTGGATGAGCAGATCACAGAACCACTGGTGACTCCCTTATCACAGCAAGATACTTCTGTTACTACACCTGATAAGTCATCCACCATCCAAGGTGCATGAACATTTTAGTTTTAGTATTATAGAAAAAAGCCCATTTGTATTAACCAAGCATGTAAAAAGTCCATCATCGTTAATATCAATAATTATGTAAAAATGTTTGCTAATTATTATCAACATGATCATATTGGTTACTCTCAGATTTCTTGGTCATGTTTGTTCGCAATTCCAGTTTGTAAATATCAATATTTGTTATTCAATTTTTAAAATTTTTTATAGAAGACATGAATGTTATTGATTCATTCTCCTGAGATCTTACTGTAATTTAGCCTCTCACTTTTTATTCCTTAGATTCAATTATAGGTTTTTTCCTCCGACTTTTGTTAGGTTTGAGCTCCCTTCCTATGTGAAGAAAAGCTCAATATTAAAGCCTATTGTGAGTCTTATTAAGTAAAGTGGAGAGTGGTCAAATTAGGTAATGTGAGAGAAGTCATATTCAATTTTGGTGGCAAATCCTTCTCTTTTTTTTTTTGGAATATCTTTTTTCTATGCATAATAGCACAAGTTCACATAGGATAATTGATTCCAAGATTCTAGTCTTTTAGACACCTTTATAAAAAACATGAGACTTACAAAGTGATAAGAGTAGAGATGACTTTTCTAAAAGTCATGTCTTTATAAATTAAAATTTTTTTATGAAAAGCTATACAGAGAGTTATAGTTACCAAAATCATGTCTTTCTAAATTCTAAAGGCACCTTTAGAGGGTTATGAAATTAAAATGTATCAGTTGGTAAAAGAAAATGTATTTCAAGAAAATTCCACATATTAGAAGGATTTATACTTTCATGGAAAGTTATTATAAATAACCCTAAGTTGATATTAATTATTAAGCTGGGTAGGTTCATGAACCAACATATGAATGTTTATGAATTAATATAAGATTATTCATGAACAATATAAAGATTATGAACTAACATCGACTATAACTTTTAAGAAGAATTTTATTACTTAAAATGTACTACTTCAATATCTATAAATATCCCTCACCATCGCTCACTCGAAACATAAAAAAAAAATTATATATTGAAACCCATTGCCTTTATTTTTTTTTTTGGAGTGCACCAAAGATAATGTTAGATTATTACTTTGTAAAAACTGTTATTGTCTTTGTTTGAATGTTGGTAGTGCAAACCATACCTAGGGCTCTTCATTGTATTTCGAAGAAAATTTGCTATCAATCCAACTAGCATCCAAAGATTGGTATATATAGGTTGGGGTGAATTAAGCTTAAAGAAAAATCCTGCCCACGTTTTAAAGACAACGTGCACAACTTTCTTCTTCATATTTACTTCTTTCATTTTTTAGAGAGCTATCCCTGCAAATAGCTAAAACGCCAAGAAATTTTTATTACTAGTTTACCTCATAAGTTGTTGGTCGAAGAGATTATATTTTATTCCTTTCTTATCCTTATTTTTATTTTTATTTCTAACAATTAAATCAATATTTAAATCGATCAGATTTAATCCCTTATAAAATTATTATTAAAAATTAAATCATAAAAATAAATAACTAAATTTAAAATATTGAAATTTAATTTAAAGAGTTTAATAATGCAAAAAAAAAAGAACAAAAAGAAATGTTCTATAATAGATCAAATATTCAAATATAAATTAACCAAATGTTAATCTCATGGTTCAAAATTAGAAAGAGAAGAAAAGAAAAAGAAAAGGGAGAATTATCCACTGTTATGTGGCACCAATCTCATATAAAATTAAAACTAGTATCCTACCCCCTCTGAGATGCATGCATGAGCAGTGACAAATTTAAGGGAGCCATAACCCATGCTCCAAAATTGCTTTTAAAATAAGTAAAATTTTATGAGTAAAAAAATGTAGAAATTATTGTCAACCCTCATATTTAGATAAAATTTCAATTATGACACCTACAGAAAGATTTCTAGATTCATCTTTGTGCGTAAGATATTATCTAATTAAATTAGTTTATGTGTATTCTTAAAATTACTTCTTATAAAATAAGCCATACTGTGAAGCATTGTTATTATTACATACTATGTATTCAAAATCAATAATATTTATGAGTTATTTATTTAGTTTTTTTTTACTTGGTATGCAATCTTTAACCGGACTATATTAATATGCAACCAATTAAATGATAAATGTAAATGACATAATCATAACAAATTTTGAAAAAAGTACAAACCATAAACGAATAATCAATGTAAGGTGCATCACAAAAAAAAAAGTCCATTTTTAATATTCTCAAATATCTCATTTTGATTGTCTTTAATGATGCTTTGTTACCGATGTCATGGATTAGTTTCTTTAAGCCTTTTTGTGTATAAACTCATTTGCATATGACCAAACTTATCACATGTAAAGAAGAACTTATAATGGTCAATGTCTTATTTTATTGATAAAATATCAAATGAGTTATTTAATGTCTTTGGACCATAATAATTTAGTGACGTGTTAAGAGGATAAATATAAATAAAAAATGACTATTAGTTTGTAATTTAATGTTTTGAAAAACATAGCTCCATCCCCTTACCAAAAAAAAATCATGCCTAGTAAATAAAGCACCTATACTCTTAAAAATTTTAGCAATAGAATTCATATTATATTTTTTAGACAATAAGTAATCATGTCCTATAACATTGTAAATTGCTTATTGTTATAAAACTATAATGAGTTATCACGTAGACTATAAAAGAAAGTGTTTAATGGGCATTTTTTATTATAGAAATTAGCATAGTAACTTCAAAGATGATGATGACGATGAGAAACTAAGAAAATTGATATATAGAAATTATAAAACTAAACATAAGAATTCTATTGTAAAGAACTAATTTTTTTAAATATCAAATATGATAACATTAGTAATAAATAAATGAGAAGTGTCTCATTGCCTTTTAGATAATATGACATTACACCATAATTCTAAGCCAACAAACGAATTTAACAAACTATATACCCAAATATAGATCCCATTAATCCGCATGAGGAGGAGCACAACATCTCTAACATCCTGAAAGATAATAGGTTAGTAGTAAAATAATTACGCTTCAAGTTTCAGTTGCACATGATAAAAATGAAGACCAGACAGAATCATAAAGATTTGCAAAGATATCTTGATATGCTAAAGATTTTACACCCCAAGTTCATTGGAGTATTACACGTGATGCCTCAAAAAAATACCATGGATTTATTTAGAGTATGATCAACATGTGATAGATAACAAAAATAGTGATACAACAAACAATTATACTTGCGTACTATTAGTGCACATTCCAAAAATACTAGGCAATAAAGTTATAAGCAAGAAGCTGAACTTTACTGAACTCATGAATGTAGTTCATGAAATGCAAAGAATGGAAAATCAAGACCACAACTATTGCAAATTTAATATGACTAGATAATTTAGAGAAAGGATATCGTTGCAAGAGTTACAGTGCTAACTCTTGGATCAAGGGGATCATCCTTGTTGATGAACAAGTTATAGCCATGCCAACCATGCCTCCTCCAACAACAACAATATCATGTTGAATATTATTGCCGATAGTCTGCTTCTTTTATGCTCTTGCAAATTTTCCAAAAAGTGTTATTCCCATTCACTGTTCTATTAAAATGAGAGAAATTTAAGAAAATGAAAAGGACTATAAAAACAAACTACAACAGAGAGTTGGCAATAACCAATGGTCATAACTATGCTACTATATACCTAACAATTTACAATAGTGAACAGAGTAAGGAAGGCAAATGAGAAGACTCTTGAAAGATATAATAAGTGGTCTTTCAATTCTCTACGCATAAACCTTTCTGTCTATCCTCCATAATTAAGAGACAATTATGAACATCGGAAAAAAAAGAAGAGAAAAAAAACTCAAAATAGTGCACAATGTCAGAATCTTTTAATTTAAGCCCCAATGAAGAAGGACTAACCACCATGATTAAATGAAATTGCAACTTCTATGCAAAACCATTTGTAGCATTCCATTCTATACACCTGTAAAAAGACTACTCTATATCTATTATCTAGACTAACTCCTGTCTACTAATTATTACCAAAAAGTTTCAAGTATATGAGGTAAGGCTACAACAATCATTGAATCATGGGTTAAGAGTCATTTTTATTCCTTAATCATATGTAAAAGGTTATAAGTGATCTTAAACTTAACTTGAGATTAATTTTTTCCCTCAACCTTAGAAAATTTGTTAGCCACGCCCTTGACCTTGATGTTAAGTTGTACACTTTTCCTGTTATATGGGCCTCACATTTAATTTTTTTAAATATTTTTATTATAAAATATTATATAATAGGTCCCACCATTTTTATGTATTTTAATAATATATAAATATATCTCTCTTCATCTTCGTCTCTCCTTATCTCACCTTCTCTCCTTCTTATTGAACTCGTGGCTTATTGGTGGGAGCATGTTGGCTTTACTTTGTTACAAGTCATGAGTTCAATTCTATAAGAGAGAAGTGAAGCACTCTTTCCTTCTAATTCATCCCCCTAGGTTTAATCAAGCATGAGAAATGTTGGTTGAAGTAAAGCATCTTGAGCAAGAGAGAGAGAAGCATGAAGTTGAAAGAGAGTGAGTTGATGATGATGTCCACTTGGTTAATGAACTTGATAGAGAGAGAATGGCAGAAGAAAGAGAAGATAAAGAAGATAGATGAGGAGGGCGACATTTTTGAGGGCCAACGTGAAATCTTCATGAGCTCCCTACACAGCGTCGTTGAGCAATTTCTTGATGCTATACATGCTCCATGTCGTTGCTAGTAGTCCCATACACACAGTAGCACCAATGTAGTGGCTATTAAAGTCGATTTTATGATCATTCTCGACTGAACCCAATTGAATCGAACAATATAAACATGTAGAACATGATCACATTAATCCTCTACAATAGGTTTCGTTATGGATTGTTAGGTTGTCTAAGTATGAGTGGACTTAAGTAGGTGTGGGAAGTCTTACATCAGATAAAGTTATGTTTAATAACTAATGTATGATAAAGAAGAAGGATCCATAAACTTAAGCCTTAAAGTTTTTAGTTAAGATGTAGTGTTCTTTAGCTAATCTTTCCTGTCTCTCCTCTTTCCTTATTCCATAATGGTTGCTCCCCATTCCTAACAAGTGGTATCAGAGCTAAGATTTATCTGGGACTTATGAACATGTTATTGCCCACACATTTGAAGCTTAAGATGAAATTGGCCCTGCTTTAACAAGGATTTATGGACGTTACACTATTTGAAGCCTAAAAATTAAGTTGGCCTTAAAAAATAGGGACTTGGTGTTGGAACATCTTTAATATAGGGAGCTTGTGGATTTACACTTATAGGGAGATGGTTAGGTTATCCAAGTGTAAGTGAATTTAAGCATGTATGGGAAGTCTCACATCAAATAATTTGAGCTTAATAACCAATATATAATAAAGAAGAAGGGCTCATAAACTTAAATATAAAGTTTGTGAGTTAAGCATGGTATACTTTCACTAATCTTGCCCATCTCTCCTCTCCTTCCGTTCCTAGGTGGTCACTCCCCATTCCTAACATGGATGCTCTGGGGATAAAAATAAAAATAAGTCATTTGCAGCCTTTCGTGCACAATTAAGAAGTAAAAATGACCCTTGTCATTAACCACAGTACCCCTCACTTTATAGGATATCAACTTTTACTAGGACATATTAAATTGTCAATATGGTGACAATATTCAATTTTTCTAGAACTGATGGTCTTTATGGGGAGTATAATGATTTTTTTTTCGAAGTAAAATCATTAGAATTAATCCTAGATGCCAAGTTTTTTTTTTATCATTCCTAATTAGATCAATCAAACTATTAATTTTTTTTATCACACCTCAATGAAGTCGTTTTGTAAATTTAAGCTCGTAAAATAGAATTAAAACAAATAATTCTTGATATAATTGTGTAATCAAATTATAAAAAAAAATCAAAGAATACAAGAAGCATTGATGTCGGCGATGGTGATTTCTTGATAATGGAAAATTTTCCACCCAAAGGGCCAGCAACTTCTACTTTCTCTATACAAAAGAGCTTTCAGGGCTTGTTCATCCTATTAGATCAAGTTCCCTTTTACACCTAACAAAGTATAGGCAATGCAATTCAAGAGAAAAAGCTCCGTCGGTGATAAAATTATAGGTTCCATGGACCGATTAGAAACTAAAAATTGACATAACCATAAAACCACTAATAAAGAGTCAACTCTGTCTCTATCTTGTGTGCCATCCTTAAAGGTCTAATATGTTATTTTCAAATAGGCCACAATCAAATGGTTTAAAGCGTAGGCACTAGAAGTCAAAAGTAGAGATCCCAGATGCAACGACAATCTTAACAGGTTTAGCTACTTGATTCGGCAAGGTCATGAAAGGTTGAACAAAGATTTGTTGTAGATTAAGCTACTTGATTCGGCAAGGTCATGAAAGGTTGAACAAAGATTTGTTGTAGAGTGAAGGATGAGTTGCTACGAAGGCTACTCTATCGCTGTCACCGCCATTTGAGGAATTTTGACAATAGGTACCATTATCGATGGTTCCTTAGTCATCGTCGTCTTCTTCTTTGGCCAAATGCCTTATAGAAAAGCTTGGTCTTAGTAAGTAATTATGGATGCATTTTACTATTAAAATTTTAGTGATATAATATAAGTAACCCCTCTAATGCCTTATGTGCCATACCAATATTACCTACTCCAAAATGGGATTGCAGAGAGGAAGGAAGAACAATAGGAGACATAATCAAGAGGGAGAGAGGAAACCAAGAATGGATTCCCATACAGACCAACAAGTAAAGGAAGTAAAGGTCCTGAAAGGAGGTTAGATGATCAAGGTTAGATTACTGGAAACAAAAGCTTGAAGCTCATAAATGAATGAGTATGAACCCTGGCACACAGAAGAGCAAAAATTTAAAAAGCTCCACCTGCTAGTTTCGATTCCCAAAGAAAGGAAATTAAAGAGTATTTTTGGCAATTCATTGTTCAAGTCAAGGACATAGCATTCTGATAGAGAAACAAAACTTAGGGCATTTTTTGCAATTCATCGTTCAAGTATGGTTCATGGATATACAACTTTTATTAGGGGCATTTTGGGTAGTCCACTATTCATAGTTATATGACTTTTTGATGTAAAACTGGACGTTATGCCCCATCCGTTGCACAGTAAATTCTTGTTATTTGTGACTTTGAATTGTAAATTTGTTGAAGTTTGAAAGATCTATGTCCATTTGGCTTGATCATGAATGATAAATTAATTTATTGATGTCATTGTGTCGCCATAGTGGTGTCCATACGAAAAAAAAATTATTGTTGTATTGAGATGGTACATGTTATATTGCAAATCAAATTGAAAGTTTGTTCTTCAATGATCATTAAAGATGATGGTTGATATCTGACAAAGTCAATTATAAAAGACTGTGAAGAAAATTGTATGTAATTCGTAGAAAGTATTAAAATGTGAAATGTTTGTATGGAATATTGTTCATTTTTTTATTATAAAAATTAGATCATGTTAGAATTCAAGAGGATTCTCCATTCTATATGCGATTCATTAAAAATAGTAAGATCAAAATTATCTTGAGATGCTTGGCATGTGAATATATCTGTGCATTTATTAGTTTATCTAAAAATATGCTTAAAGGTGACTATTCAATGTTTCATTACAAACTTCCTAATGTTAATTTTCGATAGAGGATGACCATTAAAGAAATTATGTTTGATAGCGGAAGGCAATCATAGAATTAATAAGTATATTAATTTCCGTCAATTTTGTATTCAAATGAAGTTGAAGACCTTCTACAATGTGCAACAGTTTAGATATAGTATTAGAGTGATAGCCAAGATGTTTTAAAAATTTTATAATTCAATATTGTTAATTTTTTAAGTAAAATTATTTTTAAGTGAATAATTTTGGAGACGTATATGTTCTTAATATTCATATAAATTTAGAATAAAAATTAATGTGAAAAATTTAAACTTTTATGCGTCACTTTTTTATCATAAGTATTTGTCATTTCAGAAACATAATTTGTAATAAATTTTTTATAGAAATGTAAGAAGTATTTTTAAATATAATAGTAGTATTTAAAAAAAATGTTGGAGTTTTTGATTAATGGAATGGTTAATAAAGGATGTCCGTTAGTCTATCGTTTGTTGCGTCATTGAGAACTAAGCCGCAGTTGCTTTGGTCATTGTAAGGAGCGCATTTGGATGCAAAATGCTGGGCATTTTGGGCAGTTCACTGTTCAATTACTGTTCATGATCATGCGACTTTTGGATGTAACATGGGTGGCAAAGAGGAGATTATAGTGGATAACACGCACGGGTCAAATCCCTTCATAATTGCCACAAAATGTCTATTTATTGGAGAGGTTGGTGGAATTGGAGGATTGAATCTTCCCCCAGTAGCGTCTCTGTACTTTATTGGAGGTCGATTTCACAATTTAGAGAAGCTAAAAAATATAAAAAGGCATGCTTGCTTGCTTGCTAAATTTCTCAACCCCAAGTTTGAAGGTTCCGTCTACGAAACATTTGGAAAGAAGACAGTGATTGAAATTCCCATTTGAAACACAGATTGGAAGGTCCTGCCAACATTTGGGATCAAGACAACTGTGTTTCACTTCGCTAAAAAAAAAAAAAGAAGAAGAAGAAGAAGGCAACTGTGTTTCACACCCCAAATTTCTTGAGAGAATCTGAGACACCGATAGAGAAATGGCTTCCTGGAATTCAATTCATCTTAAAGTCTTGTACCAAGTACTGGGTTGGTCTACTTTCTTTTCCTGGGCCATCAGTTGTTACCCTCAGATCGTGTTGAACTTTCGTCGGAAAAGGTACCGTAATTTTCACGAGCTTCTTGCCCCCCCCCCCTGATTTCTGTTCTTCTTGATTCTTATTCAAATGCGCTTTTCGTTGGTTGGGGTATGGAACACAGTGTGGTGGGCTTAAACCTTGATTACGAGATACTCAACTTAACAAAGCACTTGTCCTATCTCATCCACAATGCTTCCCTCTACTTCAGCTCTGTCATTCAGAAACACTTCGAGAAATATGGTTTTGAACAGGTTTCTGCTCCCCATTATATTCCTGAGAATCAGCTATGTTGCTTTTTAATTACTCTCTCACTGTGTGTGTGTGTGTGTGTAATTTCAGATGATTCCTGTGGCTGCTAATGATGTTGCTTTCTCTACTCATTCAGCTATAATGACCTCGATTGTGCTGTCCCAGGTTGTAATATATGAAGTAAGAATTTTCAGACTTAGACATTCTCCTCTGCTCTTTCTTTTAACCCACCGAATACGTTTTGTGAATTCTTCATGAGATTCAATGTCACTGTCTGCAGCGTGGAAGTCAGAAATTCTCCATGTATGCCATTGGAATAGTCTCCGTGGTATTGTTCATTGCTGCAATTTGTTTTTTCATAGCTTTACATGACAACTCTTGGCTTTGGCTCATCTCCATCTTTAAGTAAGTTCAGCTCCATTGTCATTCTCTTCTTTTATAAGAATGAGAACTGACCCTGATCAATTATAATGCAGCTCAATTCAAGTATGTATGACCCTAATCAAATACATGCCCCAGGTCAGGATGCTTTCCTTGCCTCCCTATTTTGGTTCACAGTTCCTACATTTTGCTGCTTCATTGGTTAGCTATACGTTTACGTTTTATGAAGATGGTTTCGTTGTGAAATGTAGGCATTCATGAACTTCTTGAGGAAGAGTACAGATGGATTCAGCATTGGCGGGGTTTTGCTTGATTTTTCTGGTGGAATTTTCAATTACTCACAAATGGCCGTCCAATCTATAGATCAAGGTTCCTCAAAAGTCAATCATTGATACTGTATTAAGTCTTTCCCCATCACTTTACTTCTCTCAGGGTAATTGCTGATTCTACCTATGTTTGCAGGTTCATGGGTTAACTTCTTTGGAAACGTTGGGAAAGTATTTATATCCTTGGTATGACAGCTCAAAATTCTGACTCCACTCTGTCCATCTCTTAAAAGACTGATTTATTAAGCATTGGAAATATTTTCACATTAGGTGATGAACACTGTGTAACCATCTATGCATGTAACAATATTCTATGATTCTGTGCTTCTGTTTCAACATTATGTACTGTATCCTGGGAAGAAAGCTGGTGCTTCTCACAGAGATAATGAAAAAATCAGGGAGCCGCTCATCTGCCCGGCTTCAACAGATTTTTTAACTGATCAGCACATAAAGGATTCGCCTAAATCTTCGGATCAGGCTTTGCCGCAAGAGGCGTAAACTAGACTTTGTAAAATTTGCCTTAAGATTGGATTAATTTTCATTCTGTTAAGTCTGTTTTAAATTTCCCGCAAGATTGCAGTAATTTTCATTCTTTTAAGTCTGTTTTTAGTTCATCTACATGTAGAGGAATTTCCAAACTGCCCTGTAATTATATTTATTAAAAAATTTGAAAAAAAAATATATTCTTGATTATTTGATCCAGTACTATTTTTTAACCTGGAAATTTGATATGGTACTTTTAATGCACGCTCTTTGCAGAGTTGATTTGTCTATATAAGAACAATATTACAATTGATATCTTAATAGATGCTTGATAAGGAGTGAAAGATTGTGCCTACTTTCGCGAATTACTGCCTGCAACGAGTGAGATAGAAATTGTCTCTCCAATAAAATGCTTACAGGAATTTTATCTGTACTTTTAATGCAGATTGACACTTTTTTTTGGCCAAGATTGCATATCAGCACTTGGTTGACCTAATAAGGCAATTTTGGCGCATAACATTTTCCATTTTAAATAATTTAAATTCATGGACGTGCATGTTGCAAATAATTAAGAGTAGTCATACTTTATTGAGGAGCACTTAGTTCAATTAATCAAAAAAATTGAACCAATTTATAATGGATCTTGAATTCAAGTTTTATAATAAATATTCATGTTAAATAAATATGTCAGAAGCATTCTCAACATACTTATAAGGCAATTGTTGGTAATAACAGTCCCACATAAGTGGATTTCATATTAGTTTGGATGAGTTGTGATAATTCTCCCAAAATTTTCAAGATATCGAGCGGTGGAATAAAACAAAGGAAAGATTTATTATTTAATTTTTATAAATTATAATTTAATTTCTAAATTTTGATTCCTTATAATTTAATTTATAAAGTTTTGACTCAATTGTAATTCAATTCCCATACTTTAATTATTACAACTCGATTCCTTATATTTTTAATATTTAAATATTAATCCTTGTATCTTAAAAAATAAAATTACAAAGATTAAAATTATGTTAAACTTTATTATTATTATTTTAAATTACTTAAATTAAAATTTTAAAATATTATTAATCTTTGTAATTTTATTTTTTAAATATAAAGACCAATATTTAAATGTTTGAAACTATATAGACTTATTTATAAGAGGCAAAGTTTAAAAATTGAATTATAACAAATTAAAATTTAGGGATTGAATTATAACAAAGTCAAAACTACAAGAATCAAGTAATTAATTTTTTAAAAAGAAAAAAGAGTAGTCATACTCTATTAGGAACTTATTACAAGATTTCTCCCGTAAAAAATTGATGGTCCTTATCATAAGAGATCAAATGAGTTATTAATTAATTTTTAAAACTATATAATTTTAGAGTTTGATGCAGTTTTTTCTTTTTATTTTTTCTACTACTTTTCTTTCACATTCAATTTTTAGTATATGGTTTTGGGTTGTAAAGTGGGAGTCTTATAAAAAATTATACAGTAATTATTTGTATGCCTGTACACGTTTTAGCAATTAGTTATTAACAATAATCTGTACTCTTTTTTTTTTTAAATTGTCTGGTCAAAATTAGAGTATTTGTTATAATACATTCATGGTATCTTAAAATTCAGAGGATTCATTCTATCCCCTTTCATGAATCAATGTTATTAAATGTATGAACATTACATGGGTCAGATACACTTGGATTCATTAACCTTGGAGAATGTACATCGCAATGCTAATGCTGAAGCAATGTAACTAAAAAGATGTCTACCTCAATACTCTTGTACACACATACCACCTCCCTCTTGAATTTTTATTATATGGTACATTTAAAAAATATTAATTATTAATATAAGATATAAAATATTATTTATTGTTTTTAATTTCACTTTTATTATAAATTTAATTTTATGATCCATCATTATATACCGTGTATTTATCTCCTTATTTTTTTATAGAAGTAATAAAAATCAATTTAATATATGTATAATTAGTTAATTATTATTGCTTAGTTCCAATGACATAATTAAAAACATCTTATAATAAATATTGAAAAGAGTATGAAATAAAATAAATGGAAAGACTTTTTTCTTATCTTTCCACGTCAAAATCTTATCTTGCTCTCACTTATTTTTCTCATTTTATTTTTCTCTACATTTTATATTAGATTAAATTCAAGCTATTAGATTAAATTTGATAATTTATATTTAATAGATTTTAAAATTACATGTTAATTTTATAGTTAAAATTTATAAAAAATGATAATAAAATCCCTTCGAATGATGTAAATGACAATATGATCTTCCAAAATATCATAATTTTAATGAAGTCTCCTAGAATTTTTTTGTTAATAATTTTTAAATTAGAAAGATTATTTTACCCTTATCGATAATTTTTAATTTCTTGTTTAATTCTTATAATTTTTTGAAAAAAAATTTTATTCTTCAAACAAAAGTTGTGAATGAGATTTATTATTTTAAAAACTTATTTTTCAATAATAAAAATTATACTTGTTAAATTGTAATTTTTTGTTCAATTATTGTGAATTATAGAACAAAATTTTTATTTTTTAAAAAAAAATTGTGATTGCTGTTTGTTTTTTAATAATTGAAATTACAATTGATGTGAATTCTTATTCAATTTTCATGACATACAGAATAAAATTATAACTAAAATTTTATTATTTTCAATGAGGGTAAAATTATCTTCTCACTAAAAATATTATTAACAAAGAATTTTTTAAGAACTTTATTAAATTTAAAAGATTAAATTATCATTTATATAATTTTAAAAAAATTTATTATTATTTTTTAAATTTAATGTGAGCGATTCATATATTCAGGGAAGGCACAATGGAGGGAGAACATAATGGGTAGAAAGCAAGTGATTTGGGCCCTTCATTGTTTCTCAAATCATATGTGCCGTTGACTTAAAAGTATTTTAAAAATATTTTTATATTAAATTTATTAAAATAAAAATTATAAAAAATTATAATATTAAATATGAACTACTCAAAGTATATTTAGATAATTATTTAATTAAAATATAAAATTTTAATATTAAATTAACCTTTCAATTTTTATATATATTATTCAAAGTATATTTAGATAGTTAATTTATAAAAATTATTAAAAAATAACATTAAATTAAATCATCTAATTAAATCTGTACTGATCAAATTAGTGACAAATAAATTATTAAAGATTTTTATGTTTTTTACAATATTTTATTTTAATAAATATAAAATAAAAGTAAAAAGCTTAAATTGGGACTATCTAGATTTTATCAAGGGATGAGTATTACAATAGTTATTTTCTAATTATATAAAAAACAGTTCATATTTAATATTATAATTTTTATATATTTTATTTTTATAAATATAATATTAAAATTTTAAAAAATAATTTTAAATCAACAGTAAAAATCCTTTGAAGATAAATAAAAGGCACAGATCACCTCACAAGAGTGATGAGGGCATGGTGCTCATCAAAATTGATAGACACTGACTGTGTTTCCAAAAATCAAGTTTGCCAGGTTGTTTATACTTTTATAAGCTGGATAACAATTGTTTATTCTCACCATTTTATTATATGTCACTTTTAACATATTTTTGTTGGAATTGAGAAAAAATATTAAATTTTATTAATTATGTTTAAAAATTCAATAAACTTCTAACCTCCCTGCTATTAAATAAACATATTTTATAAATAAAATACTCTAATGTTTAATAACTTCATCAACAATGGGTAGGGACAAAAGGATAAATATAAATATAAAAATTAAAAAATGTTTTATAAAAAATAAAAAAATAAATCATATGTGCAATATTTAATATAGATATTGATATTTATGTATTTAATTTTTATAAGATATATTAATATATTAAATTAAATTATTATTAATGTAAATAATTCATGTCCGTGAGAAAAACATGAAACGTTGACGGAAAAAACGCGATTTTCACTTCCACTGCACTTCCTCTAAGCGAACTGGTTCTGGAGCCCTAAAATGCTACAGTACTTCCGATTGCTCTGCCTATACCTGTCCCCTTGGTAGATCATCTTTGGGCATACATCCTCCCTGCTGCCGTCGCAGCGTAATCCGCCCCGCCCCTCCCCTCTTTGTAGTTCTAATCTCACTGTCTCTTACGTGCTTCTCAATTCTTATCATGATCAACACAGGTACCTTTGTAAATCCTGTGCTAACTATGGTTCATTCCCTGCCCAAATCTCACCAGCTTTTGTTCCCCTACGTTCTGTATTATTGGAGTTTTCTGATGCCATTGTAAAATTCATGTTCTGAACTGTTTATTGGGCTCTATATAATTGTTTGAAGATAACGCAACAATTAAAAATGTTTCCTTTTGGCACCATTGGCTTTCAGATGGGTTCTATCTCGTATTGGGGTCCGTTTTCCTTCCTACATCCATAGACTTCCAGTGGTTGAGATTCTAGCTCCAATTCTGAAGGTCAGCATTGTTGACCGCAGTATGGTTCCCTTTGATTTGCGTTGTGTGCATTCTTCGTACAGTCGACGTCTAGATAATTGTTAACCGTGAGACATTTAGGACGCTAGGACATATCCTGACAGGACCATGTATTCATACTGTATTAATTAGCTTTATTTTTTTTTTTAATCTTTCTCCTGCTGAAACATAAGTCTAGCCCTTTCGTGATTCCTCTACAAAAGATAAGGAGTTCAAGAGCGATTATGGGTTAGACCTGGCTGGGTGTTAGGGTAATTATATTTACATGCTAATAATTATGATTCATGAGGAATTTTGAAAAGCGCATGGTTAGCTCGTTAGAGTAACGAATTAGTAAAAATTACATATATGGCGCAGATTTTATTTACTAGTATGATACTATCATCTGGAGTAATAGAGCATGGAAGTGAAACTTATGTACTATTATCCCTGCTTTTTTTCTTTCTGATAAGTTTGACAATGTCTCCAATCATCCTTATATGAATCTGCATCTTCTGCAGCTACAGCACATTTCTTCCCTTACTTTTTTTGTGGTTATGTTTACATAAAGGTCCATGGAGGGTATAGAACCTGATATAAAAAGCCATCCACCAGAATATGATGTGCAAAATGAAGGTCAAACATCTGGAGCAGCAACTGACACCGGACAGCAGAGTCAAAGCCCCAGGGCTTCTTCAATTGCAGATTGTGACATGGTCTTTGATACTGAGAATGAGCGCGCAAGCCCAAATATTGGTCCTGTTGACCAAACTCATATGGGAAAAATGATGATTGTCTGAATTCAAGCATTTCTTGTGATAACAATTTTCAGATTGATGCTGCAAATGGAAATCTGTCTCAGGAATTCAACATTTCTTCTGTTGATGTGTCAAGTAACAGTAATGTCATAACAGCTGAGGAGGAGCTGTGCATGATACCAAAAATTGGCATGGAGTTTGATTCAGAAGACCATGCTTACAAGTATTATAGCAGGTATGCTGTTTTTGAAAGGTTTCAGCATAAGAAAAGATTTTGTCAACAAAAGTAGGGTGAATGGTGCGGTGGTATCTAGAAGATACACTTGCTATAGACAGGGTTATGGGCCTAATAAACATAGTGCCAATGTAAGGAAATCCCATCTGGAAACAAGGACTGGATGCCTGGCGCATATGACTATTGCTCGTCAGCCTAATGGCAAGTTTCATGTCACTCATTTTGAAGCAGGGCACAATCATGAGTTTGCAACACCCTGTACGGCTTATATGTTACCATCACAGAGAAGATTGAGTTTTGCTCAAGCAGTTTGAATCTAACTTGTCTAATAATTCTGTGTTGGATGGGGTACCAAAACTTGGAATGGGATTTGACTCAGAAGATCATGCATATGACTTTTATAATACATATGCTGGACGTGTAGGTTTTCAGTGTTCGGAAAGATTATGTAAATAGAAGTAAAATTGATGGTGCTGTCGCATCTAGGAGGTTCACATGCTTTCGGGAAGGTTTTCGGCAGAAAGACAAACGTGATATGACTGTGAAGAGGCCTCGAAAAGAGACTAGAATTGGATGTTTAGCACAACTGGTCATTTCTCGTCAGCCTGATGGTAGATATTGTGTAACTCATTTTGAAGAAAAGCATAATCATGAGCTTGTTGCTGCTTGTAGAGTTCACATGTTACGATCACAGAAGAGAATAGCCACAAATCAAGCCATTGAGAGCAACATGCTAGATGGTTCCAAGGTGCATCCTAAGTCTGGACCAAATTGCAAGGCTATTAAAGTTTAGATGATCCGGGTTGTGACCCCATAGAATATGGAAATAAATTGCCTTTCAAGCACACAAGAGAAATGAAAGAGGGAGAAATTGAAAAGCTAAAGCATCACTTTCGAAGCAAGCGATCCAAAAATCCTTCCTTCTTTTATGCCTTCCAACGTGATTCTAGTGATCAAATAACTAATATGTTTTGGGCAGACACAAAGATGGTAGGAGACTACTGTGATTTTGGTGATGTTGTTTGCTTTGATTGTAGTTACAGATTTTGTAGAGACTCCCGCCCATTTGCTCCATTTCTTGGTGTCAATAATCACAAGCAAATGGTTATCTTTGGGGCTGCACTTCTATATGATGAAACAGTTGAATCTTTCAAGTGGCTATTTCAAGTTTTCTTGGAGGCAATGTCCAGGAGACAGCCAAAGACAATTCTTATAGATCAAGATGAAATAATAGCTAGCTGAAGCAGTCTCTCTGTCTTGCTTGAAACCAACTGCCAAATCTGTGCTTGGCATGTGTACCAAAATACACTAAATCAACTCAGTCACCTGTCTGTGGGATCTAATTCTTTTGTTAATGACTTGAGAAGCTGTTTTTTTGATCACGAGGAGGAGGAAGGCTTGGTTAATGCATGGAATGATTTCCTGAACAGGTATAATCTTTGGAAAAATGAATGGTTGTGTCGAATATATGAAAGCAGAGACAATTGGGCCCCAGCATATGGAAGGCAAAATTTCTGTGCTGACATAACAAGTCTGCTGTGGAAAGAAAATCTTATTGGTAGCTTGAAGAAGCACCTAACGAATGATACAGATGTGATCTCATTTCTCAAGCATCTTGGGAAGGTGGTGACTGATTGGCACTATAAGGATTAGAAGCCAATTATGATATGAGCCTGCGTATGCCAGCACTGATGGGAGATGTGATTCTTTTGAAGCATGCAAGAGATCCATACACACCAAAGATATTTGAATTATTTCAGAAAGAATAGGAAACTTGTTTAAATCTAGTGATAAAGCATTGCAGTGAGAGTGGATCATTGTACAAGTATAAAGTTAGCTTATATGAACACGTACGAGAGTATACAGTTACCTTTAATTCATCTAACGAGACTGTCAGTTGCAGCTGTATGAAATTTGAGTCCATGGGAGTCTTATGCAGCCATGCATTGAAAGTCCTTGATTACAGGAATATAAGGATACTTCCATCATTGTACATCTTAAAGAGATGGACAAAAGACGCGAGTTTTTTTGAGGCAAACTTGAAAACACCAATAGAAGTGAATGGTGAACATTATCTTCCTAAGGTGATAATCACATGATAGGGCATTATCATTAGTTACAAGGAATCATTTTGTTTGGCTACATTACCTTCAAATGTAAAACGAGCAGCCATGTGACTGGCATGGTGTATAGTGTAACATGTCTCCCTGAATTGGTGATTACGCACGTATCATATGAATAAATCATGCCCTCGA